TTTTTTTTTTTTTTTTTTGTTATTAATAATTACGTCAAATTTATATTTTTAGATCACGTGCAGCCTGCCCAACAATCTGATGATACTCACATGTTTGATGACGAAATATTGGCGAAATATTTCTCAGACATGAATAATAACGCAAATAACGACAGTAATAAAGAATCTATTGGGAATTCCGGTTTGCAGTCATATCATCACCATCAAGATCTTGCGGAAATAGGGAATTCTATTATACACATCCCGTATTATTTTGAAAATAACACTGTTTGTAATTTAAATATAATTTGAATTTTTATCAAATCACCTGATTTCCTGAACAAAAACATATTATTATTATCTAGGTCTATTCTCGAGACAACACTTTGTTAAATCATTACGACCAAGTTCGTTTATATAATTTTTTTTTATTTAGAATATTTTTAATAATTTTCATACTTAGTCACGTAAATTATTTTTAGTTATTACAAAATAATTCGGGAATTACTTTTGATCATCAACGTACTCAAAATACAAGATTCTCCGTTTCGGTAATCAATTTTTTTTCAATTTTTTTCAATTCAAAATTTTTTATTCATATTAATTTATTTCACATTTTATTGTTAAGTAGACTGATAATTCTCATAATCAGTACAATCAAAATGAATGGCCTGTTATATCTGTAATTTATCATATTTTTTTTATCTTAAAAGAAGAATGATAATTTCAAAGAAATTTATATATTATTTTTATTTTATTTAGTCTCATATACCACAATTATCATCAGTCAATGAAATGTATCCCCATCATAACATGGGGCTTTCACAAATGGTTTTAGAAAGTCCATTTCCATCTCCAGATCTTTTAACGATGTCAACGTTACCAGTGTCTACTCCTTCATATTCTCTGATCTCTTTCAGTGATCCACAAACTTTTAATTACCAATTTAATCCGGTATGTTCATTTCCTGTATACCAAACAAGATATTCCACTAACAGTAATCTAATAATATTTTTTTTTTTTTTTGTAAACAGAGACGATCCCAACCTTTTCCTATATATGAAACTGACTATCAGTCTCGAATTACATCTGCTGGCTCAGCTAACACACTAAGTCAAAAACCACCTGTATACACTAAATGGACCGAAGAAGAAGATGAACTTTTAAGAGCCGCTATAAGTATTTATGGTCCACATAAATGGTCTCTCATAGCCGCTCACGTACCAAATAGGACCCCAATGCAATGTTCAACTAGGTGGTTAGGTGCTTTAAATCCAACTATTCATAAAGGACGTTGGACCCCTGAAGAAGATGCGGCTTTAAAAGAGGCAGTTAGCGAATATGTAGATCTTCTCGATTCGGATGGTCATCCACAACCTATACCTTGGAATAAAATTGCCTCACGTATTCCTCATAGAACTGGTATTCAATGTCAAGCTCGTTGGTCTGAAGCTTTAGATCCAAGTGTAAGAAAGGGAAAGTGGTCACCTGAAGAAGATGAAGTATTGAAAGAAGGTGTAAGAAGATATGGTAGATGCTGGATTCGTATCGCGGAATTAATCGAAGGAAGAACTCAAGTAAATAATTATTACTTATTCATTGACTATTTGATAATTTCTTAATAATTCAAATATATATTTCTATCTTTCTATATAAAATAGAGACAATGTAGAACACGTTGGGTACAGATAAAAAACAAACAGGCCAAAATCGAACGTGACGCTATTGCGGCCAAAGTTACTACAGAGACAACAATTTCAACTGATGATGAAAGTAACGATATATTGACTCCTCCACGTACGGCACCACCTACACCAGCTCAGCATAATACACAAGGGCAAAGTTTGCACTTGTTAAGATCAATGAATCATATAACTGCTGTTCCTACCATAGTGCCACAGGTCACAACCATAAAAAATCAAAGTCCCACCATGTCCCCAACGGGGACAAGCGTAACGGATGAATCATGTGTTACAACCCCTGAAAACTCCTCCTCCCCTCCCTATTTCGAAAAACCGAATGTGTATCTCTATACACATTCTTATTAAACTATTTTAAAAAAATTTTTTCTTTCTCGTATTCTTTTTTTTCGATTTTTTTTTTCCTATATTTGAACAATATATGTTTATTTTTAATTCTAGATAAGAGAGGGTATCAAATTTAGAATATTTAGACTTTTTAATATATTAATATACAATAAGATTTTTTTTTAAGATATTATATTTTTTTCGCTTAAAATTCATGATTAAATTCATGATATTGAATAATTTCCCCCTTCCACTTATGTAACATTACGATTTTATGTCAACTTTATTCGTATTTTTTTGTGTGTAGGATGTGCACATCCTACATACTTGTACTACTTTTCTTTTATCGTTCTTTTTTTTTTATGCATTTCTTAAAATTTTATCACTTGTATTTCCTTTAAAGCATATAATCTAATTCCGATTAATACCAACTACATTCGATTTTTCACAAGGGAGTGAAAAGGAATTCTGCTCGATTTTTCTCTCTATATTATTTAAGATTTTAATATTTCATCGATCGTTTGGCTTTTCATACATACACATTTTTCTTTATGTTAATAAAAATATTATACGTAAATAAAACTGTTCAAATTACATAAATATTTTGATATTATACTGCCCCTCTGAATATTTCCTTTCTTTTAAATAAACCAAGACATGATACAACACTTCCTTAAATGCACACTTATTTGAACCATAATAAATAAGGTATGCATTTATGAGAGAGCAAAATATATAAAATTCTTATAAACTGAACCAAGTTATGGTATTTTCTAATTAAATATTGTATTTTGCAACCTCATACCATTTTAATCACGCTTAGCTTATAGAGAGTGTATGTATTTTATAGTGAAGCATTTAAGGAGTTGTTACTGTATCACAAAGATATCTCATAATTTATAAAGAATTTTACAGTATTTCTAAAGGATTTTAAATTACCGTATTTAAAATATTTAAATAGTTATTGAACGATAGTTATCGAAGGTCGATATATAAAACTCAGTACATTGATCAAAAATAATCAAATTTCGGTACGGGGTCGATATATACATTGATCAAAAATAATCAAATTTCGGTACGGGATTCCCATTATGTAATTTTTTTAAAAATATAAAATTATAACGATATTTAGATAATTTTTTTTTTTTTTATGATAAGATTGTAAGTCGATTTATCAAAGTAATAAAGTAAACAGTACAAAACTATTGATACAAAAATTACAAATTAAAAAGAACTCCTGGTTCCTCTATCTATCATAGTAAACTACCCAGACAGACGAACCCAACCTTTAAAATTATTAAGATAAATTTTTAAGGTGGGAAGATTATGATAACGGCTAAATATTTTTTAACGGTTTCCAATAAAATTCCAGTATTTTAGTCACGTGAAAGTGCATAATCCCATCCCATAAAAAAGCGCGTTTTTTTTTATCTCTTTCTATAAATAGAATCCATCCCTATAGATGAAAAGCAAAAATATAAAAATAAATAAATTACAAATCATTCGATATAATCATGCGCCAATTGCGCCATCTTTAAGATTAAACTTACGATGTTCTTTTATTTCTTGTTTTAAACTAACAAAAATTTCGGGTTTATAATTCTTTGATTTATTATTTTGTAAATACATCTGATGGGACTTTTCCGATTTACGATTACAAATACTTCGTTTTTGACACATGTGATGATGAGAAAAAGTATAATTGATTGATTGTGTAATGTATCACTAAATACGCCGACGCTGAAAATAATTGAATTTTAATTAAATTCAAGCCTACAACTAAAATATATGCCATTAAAGGCTAATAAATTGTTAATTTTTTCTTTAAAAATAATATATTATCAATCGAATTAAAACAATACATGTCCAAAAAGTTTTCAAAAGGAGGCACTTTCTTTTAATGGTATTGAAGGATAATAAATCCTTTTGAGCATGTAATATAAAGGATCATAGCATTTGTGAAATTCCTAAAGATATTGAATTTAAGATATGAGGCCGAAAGTAATTAGGATGCTCAAAATTTTTGAAATACTTACTTAACTTTAATTTGTAATATTCCTAAATTTTTAAACTTTAAATAATCTGTTAATTATTAATATTAGCATATAGGCAGGTATGAATTATTTATCTTTGTCTCTCGTGGTTGGTAAAGTAATTAATTCATTTTTCATTATACGTTTCACTATCAATTCCCACGAGTAAATCTTATTTTTATTTGAAATTAAATTTAGTTAGTAACTAATTTAATTAATCAATACACAAGTCAATTCCTATTGGGGGAAAATCTATGATTATGTGAATCGTAAAAAATACAAGATTAAAAATCCAATACTTTTAACATAACCCCCTTCTTTTTTTTCAACTTTTGGGAGGGTTTTTTCAACATATAATTTAGTTTAATTAGGATTAGGCCATAATTTTTTTTAAGTGTTCAATTAATATTTAATTCGGGCCAAAATTAATAATAATTCTGGCAAGGATATAATATTCATATACGCACTAATTTTTTCCTGATGATCGTTTGTGCTTTACAGAATCAATTGTGAATTTGTTTCAACAATTAATATACTATCCGCATTATTCAGATTGGAAATATTCTTATTTATTATTATCGTACATTTTTCAAACAATTTTATCTAAGGATATCAAAGAATTTTTATATTAAAAGAGAGATTTCAATACTAAGTGGGAAATATTTATTATGCTTTATGCCTTCTTGTAAAGTTACAATTATCATAATGCTGACAAAGTATTATGGTCACGTGCTAACCACTATCGTTCATTATGCAACTTAAAATTTGTTTATTAAAAAACATTTAATATAATAAAAATATTATATCCTAATATGGAAATTTATATGTCGATCATTAGAACCTTCCCCTAAAAAATCAAAGGTCCAAATCTTTTAAAATTGGCTTTTTTCTTAATATAGATATATGTAATATAATGCGAAATCTGGCATTAAAAAAGACATTTGATAAATAATTATGGTTAAGTTTTAATTACGAAAATCTTTATTTATTTTTTATGCAAATAACAGACACGCGAAACGCCAAACCATTTGAGTAAACAATTTGAATCGATTAAAAGAATGGATTATCTTATTCGCAATTATCACGAATATATATTTTTGAAGTGTGACATTTATTTTATTATGTAGTATTACATTACAATCAAACGTTCAAACAAAGTAAAATAAAAAAAATTTTTATTTATATGCTATGTGAATAAGGAAATCCATTGCCGTTATATCTTTGTTACAAATCTAAACGATTCATGTATCATTACGTGTTATATTACCGATCTCCAAACTTGTAATACAATTAGTCATTTTAAAAGAGGCTTTTTATTTTTTTCTATTTAAACTATCGGACATTAATCTATTTTTCCATTTTTCCTCCATTTCTCCTATTTTCCTTTCGGAAAATTCTAAACTTTTTTTATGCGTATCGGTATTCATTTTATTTAAAGATGGCTTAAATTGTTTATTATTTAAAAAAAAATTATTTTACTAGATATATATATTGTATATATATTTAGTGTTTGTTTTTTTATAACAAACCGCGAAATATCGCATCCTTATATAAATGTCAAAACCATTATTCTGAACCCTTTTTGATATACTAAATAAAATTGGAAAGCGGGCGAATATACGCATACTTTATGATTTTGAAAGTGTTACATTAGGTACATAAAGGTTTACGCCAAAGATGTATAAAATAAATCAAAAAAAAAATTGGGGAATTGGAAAATTTGGCAAAGATCGACGGATTAATATATAAAAATTTGCCAAAAGGGGGGAACGATATATCTCATATGCGAAAAAAAAAAAAAAAAAAAAAAAATATTT